AATTCTGACTTGGTTAAATTCTTAAAATATACTATGCTGTGGAATCTTGACAGTGTCTTTTTACATCTATGCACATGAATACAAGGCAGTCTCATTAACTCTCTGAATGTGGTTAATAGCATTAGTGGATTTCCAAATGCTGAGTCTCACTTGCACTCCTACCATAAAGGATGTCTGCTCATGCTACAGTATCCTCATATGTTGATACAATGCCTTCTAATACTTGTAACTTTTACTTTTATATCCATATGTCCTATTTGTCTGTAGTATTCAGTGTGTCTCAATCTAGTTAATGATCTTATAGCAATCTTATATATCCTTCCAAAACTTTTGGGAAATGTTTAACTGCTTTATAACTCTGACACAGTATAAGTGACATTTGTTTACTAAACTCTTTTTTTTTTGAGATGGAGTCTCACTCTGTCCCCCAGGCTGGAGTGCAATGGCACAATCTCACCTCATTGCAACCTCCACCTCCCAGTTGAAGCTATTCTCCTTCCTCACCTCCCAATTAGCTGAGATTACAGGTGTCTGCCAGCACAGCTAGCTAATTTTTCTATTTTTAGTAGAGATGGGGTTTCACCATGTTGACCAGGCTGATCTTGAACTCCTGACCTCAGGCGATTTTCCCACCTTGACCTCTCAAAGTGCCGGGATTATAGGCATGAGCCGCTGTGCCTGGCCTACTGAACATTTTTATATTGGAACTTATGTGTGGATGAAAGCCCTCTGTTGATAAATGTCTTTGTTATTTCTATTATTTAATTAACATTTACCCCTATTGAGTTAGAGATTCTACACTGATGAACCACCCAACTGGCACTGTGTTCATAACATTGTTAATAGCAGTAAAAGTAGATATTCTTTTAGAAAATCAAGACTGAAAACTAAACACACACACACACACACACACACACACACACACACACGAAAACAAAACAAAACTTACACCAACCCTCTCCATCCATTAGTGGCATAAACATAGAAAGATAACCAAATGGACCAAATGATGGAGCCAAATAATCAGACCAAAATTATACAGTATAAACACATTTTTCAGAAACACACCAAAGGACTCCAAGTTCAGAAACCTGGGTATTCATGTGCAGAGAACTGAAGTAAGATCCCTATGTTGCACAAGACACAAATATCAACAGAAAATGAACACCTAAGTCTAATCCTGAAACCAAAAAAGCTCCCAAGAAAAAACATAGGGTGACTATTTTGGAGAAACTTGAATCTGTGCACACCAGTTGCCAAAAGAAAAACATAGGGAGATTATACCCAGAAACAATACAATGCCTTCACCATCTCTCTGTTTCCCAATGGGACACAGAAATCACTATTAACAAAAGCAAATATAAACATGTTAGACAAAGGACAACTTTAAAATTTCTCAAGGAGAAAACAATGAACCCAAAGAAAAGGTATTCTACAGGTTGCGATAAAATTATGGAAAATCATGTGTCTGAAAGGAACTGTTATCTAACATATATAAGAAGCTAAAGGTAATAAGTGGTCAAAAAGATAAAACAACTAAAACCTGTATGTATCCAAACAGGCTACCCAAATACCCATTCAAAGACAGACTTGATAAAGAAAATATGACACATATACAACACGGAATACTCTGCAGCCATAAAAAAGGATGAGTTCATTTTCTTTGCTGGGACATGGATGAAGCTGGAAACCATCATTCTCAACAAACTTACACAAGAACAGAAAACCAAATATTGCATGTTCTCACTCATAAGCAGGGGTTGAACAATGAGAACACATGGACAAGAGGGAGTGGGGAACATCACACACCAGGGCTTGTCGGGGATTGGGGGCATTAGGGGAGGGATAGCAGGGGGTGGGGGGATTGGGGAGGGCTAACAGGAGAAATACCTAATGTAGACGACAGGGGTGGATGGATGCAGCAATTCACCAAGGCACATTTATACCTATATAACAAACTTGCATGTTTGGCACATGCACCCCAGAACTTAAAGTATAATTTTAAAAAACGCTATCCAATGGATAGATTGAGGGAGTCCCATATGTCACCCAACGTATATACAGTGAACACATTTTTCAAAAGAACACAAAGACAGAATGGGAAAAGTCTATTCAATAAATGATGTTGAGCAAGCTAGGTAACTAACAAGATGTAAAGTGTAAAATATAACAATAAGAAAATAAATATTTGAAGAAAAAGAACCATAGACAATACCATGGGTTGGCAATCGTTTTCACTATTTTTAACTGCACACAAAAGTCACCACTAATATATAAACATGTGGGACTATGGAAAACACTGGATCTTATGCAGGGAAACGAAAACAATGGACCAGAAGAGAAGGCATCTGACAGACTGAAATAAAACTATGGAAAATTCTGTTTTTGAAAGGAGTAATTATAAAATATGTGCAAGAAACTAATACTACCATGTGGGGAAAAAACAAAAACAGCAACAAAAACAAATACGTAAGCTAAGACTGGGAAGAGGACCTGAATAGACATGTCTGAAAAATAGATGTGAAATTAACACACAGGTAAAAGAAAAGTTTCTTAAAAGCTCTAATCCTCATGAGAATGTCAAGAAAAACCACACTGAGATACCACTTCCAACCACACAGAATGAATGTTACTTAAAACAAAAATAAGAGTTTGAAAAGGAAACGACTGGTATAGACTTGCAGAAGGGGAAAATCTTCTCATACCCTATAGGTGGGAATGTCAATTTGTACAGATACTAGGAAAAACAACTGGAAGCTCCTCAAACAAAAAATGCCATTTCATCTAGCCATCCCACCACTGGCTGTTTTGCAACCAATGAAATTCCTATGTGGAAGAGATATCTGCCTTGCCCTGTGTACTACAGTACTCACAATAGCCAAGATAGGAAATACACCTGCTTGTTCATCTGTTGATTAAGGAAAGAGGAAACTGCAATATACATCCAGAATGGAATAGTCTTCAACCACAGAAATGGGTGAAATCTAGTCATTTGCAGCCACATGGAAAAACCTGAGGGATATTATGTTAAATAAAATGAGTCAAGCAGAGAAGGGCATATACAGCATGAACTTACAAATATGGAATCTAAAACACTTGACCTCATAGCAGTAGAAAGTTCAACAGTGCTTACCAGAGGCTGTGAGGAAGGGGGAGCCTGAGCAGGGATTCGTAACGGGTACAAAGCTACACTTAGAAAACTGAGATCGATCCTGCCCTTCTCTTCTATAGCATGGTGACTAGGGTTAATATTGTAGTGTATTTTTCAAATAGCTGGTAAGGATTCTGAATATCCTCTCCACAGACAAATAATACCCAGAGGACATCACAGGTGATAAATATTGTGATTTGAACAATATACTAGGTGTACCTATATCAAAATGGCCCCTGGATTCCCTAGTTACATACATATTCTCTAGGGTAATCTCTTTAAAAACAAAACAAGGCCGGGCACGGTGGCTCAAGCCTGTAATCCCAGCACTTTGGGAGGCTGAGGTGGGTGGATCACAAGGTCAAGAGATCGAGACCATCCTGGCCAACATGGTGTAACCCCGTCTCTACTAAAAATACAAAAATTAGCTGGGTGTTGTGGTCGCATGCCTGTAGTCCCAGCTACTCGGGAGGCTGACGCAGGAGAATTACTTGAACCCGGGAGGCGGCGGTTGCAGTAAGCCGAGATTGCGCCACTGCATTCCAGCCTGGAGCCTGGCGACAGAGTGAGACTCTGTCTCAATAAAAACAAAAAAATACCAAAAAACAAAACAAAACAAAACAACAAAAAAAAAATCAAAAGGATGCCAATGATGCTAAAATTCACATGGAACAATAAAACACCCTGAATATTGAAAGAAATCCTGGAAATAGAAAGTATGTGGGATGCATCACTGTCCTCCATTTGAAATTACATTGAAAAGCTATTATCTAAACAATAGATGACTGGCACTAAACAAGAAACCCAGACCAATAGACAGATAAAGGGAGCAGAGTCAAAAACCCAAACTCCTAGGTAGTGTACACATTTTGTAAAAGCACACCAAAAGACACAGAAAAGAAGGGGGAATCTGTTTAATAAATTGTTTTGAAAATTGGATATCCCTATGGAAAATAAAATAGGACCCCTATTGTGTAAAAGGTACAACAATCAACTCAAAATGAATTAGCGACTCATACAAAAAACTTGAAAGCATCAAGCACCTCCAATGAGAAGACATATGGTATGGGTATATTTAGGTCAACGTGGATCTGTGCTTATAGTGTGCCAAAACAAAACAAAAAAATACAGGGGGAAAAAATCGTAAGTGATGGATTGGTTTGGTCATGATTTTGTTTTTCTTCATCAGTAACCTACATCACAGGGAACCAAGAAAATAGACACAGGTAGGACAGCAAGACACTCTAGAGTTTGTGCCCAAGCAGTCAAAAAAAAAAAAAAATCCATGAATAAAATGAAAAATTATTCTGAAGTTCACAGGAAAGGTTTAGGCAAACATACATCTGCTAAAAGGCTGCATTCAAAATGTCTAAGCAACAAATACTCCTTACTAGCCAAAAACACAAAAGAGAAACTAATAACCAAACAAAATGGGGCAAAAGAGCCTGAATAGACATTTCTGCAAAGAAGACATAACATTGAAAACAAATTTTAAAAACCTGGGTAACATCACAAATCATGAGAAAAATGTAAATCAAAACAACACACCTCATTTCACTATAATTCAAATGGATGTTATCAAAGCAATAAAATACATTAAAAGAGACACAAACGCTGGTGTAAATTTCCACAGAGAAATTCATTTAGTAAGAATGTCAATTAGTATACATAGCACAGAAACCAGTGGGAGGTTCCTCCAAAAATTAAACCTACGACTATCACTTCATCTAACAATTCTACTACTAGGTATACTTTTGGTACAAAAGAAATTAGCCCATGCAAGAGATATCTACTATCCTATATAGACTGCAGTACTCTTCACAATTGCCAACATAAAGAATAAACTTACCTGCCCATCCATAGATGAAGGGATAAAGTAACTGTGGTGGATGTACACAAAGAAAATAGTCTTCAGCCAGAAAAACAGAATGAAATTTCATCATTTGGACCTGGAGGACTTCATGGTATATGACCTATGCCAGGCAGAGAAAAAAAAAGAAAACCACTGCCACATCTCACTCATGTAGCATTCAAAATAAAAGCCTTTAGTGCACAGGTTTAGAAAGCACAACAGTGGTTACCAGAGGATGGAGAGAAGACGGGGCATGGGCAGAGATCAGAAATAGGTATAAAGTTATACTTAGATAGAGGAATGAATTGCTCCTCTATGAGCCACAGCACAGTGACTAGTGGTTAGCACATCGCAGCTTTTTCACAAAATCTGGAAGATTCCAAATGTTTTCACCACAAAGAAATTAACAACTCTTTGTCATAATAGAGACTCTAAATATCCGGATTTTATAATTCTTCTGTGCTACACTAACCAATATGCCCCACTCTAATTCCCCCCATTGTATATATTTACCATATGGCTAATCTTTTAAAAAAATACATAAACATGCAATGCTGAAATTAATATGGACCACAAAACACCCAGAATTTCCAAAGAAATCCAAACTACATGGGTTGTGTCACACTTACCGATTTTAAATTTCCTTGAAAAGCTGGAACCCCATTCCACACAGAGCAGTGGAATAGATGACAGGACCCAGATGTAAACCCAGACCCCTAATACCATCTGATATTCAACAAAATCCACAAAAAATAAGCTATGAAGAAAGGACTCCCTCTTCTCAATAGATGGTGCTGGGATAAATGGCTAGACAGGTGCAGAAGAAAAATAGTTGACCCTTCCTCTGTCTCACGGTGTACAGAAATAAACATAAAATGAATCAAAGATATAAATGCAAACTATGAAAAGCGTGCAAGAGAACCTAGGAAATATCCTTCTTGACAGAGGATTTGTCACAGCATGAATATGCCTAAGTATCCAAAAGCAAGTGCAACTACAACAATTATTGACAAGTGTGACCTAATACACAAAAGAGCTGCTGCATAGCAGAAATGACCCACAGAGTAAACAGACGGCCTACACAATGGGAGAAATGTTTCCATGTATGCATCTGATGAAGTCTAATATCCAGGATGTACTGTAAAGATGTTAAGCAAATACATCAGCAAATTAGATCCTGGATGAAGTCTAATATCCAGGATCTACCTTAAAGATGTTAAGCAAATAAATCAGCAAAACAAAAACCCAATGAAGAAAGGGCAAGGGGCATGAAAATACGAATCTCAAAAGGCAGCTTACAGCAACAAACAGACACGACAACATTTATCTACCACAGTAATCACCAGAGAAGTGCAAAGCAAAAGGCCCATGAGATAGTATTTCACACTGGTCAGAGTGACGATTATGACACAGTCCACAAGAATGAATGCCATTGAGGCAGAGGAGAAGAGGGATGCTGTTGGTGGAAATGCAAACTAGTTCAGACACCATGGTAAACAATGTGAGGATTTCTCAAGTAACTGTCTCAACATCACTAATCCTCACAAAAATGTCCATGAAAACCACACTAAGATTCTGTCTCATTCCACTCAGAATGAATACTACCAAAAACAAAACATAAATTTTTGAAGGCGCCAGCCAATGTAGACTTACAGAAGGGTAACCTCTTAAATACTATTGGTGGGGTTGTAAATTAGTATACAAGCTATGAAAAACAGCTAGATGTTCCTGAAAAAATTCACAGTACAACTACCATGTCAGCTAGCAGCCCCACCACATTTAAAGCAGTAGAAATCCCTAGTTTGAAGAGAGCTATCTGCCTTTCCATGGGTACTGAAGCACTTGTAACTGTGGTCAAGGTACAGAACCAACCTACCTGTCCATACGGCTGTGGGGATGAAGAAACTGCTGTATAGATACACCATGGAGCATGTTCCAGCCATAAAGCTTTGGAAAATCCTGCCATCTGCAGCCATATGAAGAAACCTGGAGAACATCGAGTCCAATGAATGAGCCTGGTAGAGAAAGGCCCATGTCACATATCTCAAGCATGTAGACTGAAAAAAACTTTACCTTCTAGAAGTGGAAAGTTCAATAGGCATTACTAGAGACTGCTGGGGAGATGGAGGGGATCTTGGAAGGAATCAGTAATGAGTACAAAGTTACTCTCAGATGAGAGTAATCAATTCTGGTCTTCTATTCTACAGCAGGGTGACTAGTCTAAACACAAATGTATCATATGTTTCAAAGAAGCTAGAAGGAAAGATTCTGAATGTTATTATCATACAAAAAATATATACATGAGGGCCGGGTGTGGTGCCTCACGCCTGTAATCCCAGCACTTTGGGAGGCTGAGGTGGGTGGATCATGAGGTCAAGGGATTGAGGCCATCCTGGCTAACACGGTGAAACCTCGTCTCTGCTAAAAATACAAAAAATAGCCAGGCATGGTGGCACATGTCTGTGGTCCCAGCTACTCGGGAGGCTGAGGCAGAAGAATTGCTTGAACCCAAGAGGCGGAGGTTGCAGTGAGCCAAGATTGCGCCACAGCACTCCAGTCTGGTGACAGAGCAAGACTCCATCTCTCTCTCTCTCTATATATATATATGAGGTGAAGAGATGCTAAATAACCAGATTTGATCATTAATCAACATATACATGTATCAAAATCTTCCTAGTACCTTCTAATTACATAAATTTAATGTATGGCAAATAGTGTTTTAAGAAATATGAAGAAACAAATGCTAAAATTTATGCGGAAATGTGAAATACCCTGAATTTCCAAAGCTATCCTGAGAAATACAAACCATGTGGGATGCATCACATTCCCTGAGTTCTAATTAAATAAAAATCCCTAGTTAACCAACCCATGTGTTGCCAGCATACACACAGAAACACAGACCAGCGAGCAAAATGAGGGCACAATACTAAACACAAATAACATTGTGTACACAATATTAAACACAAATTTATACAGAGTGAACATTTTTCAAAACACCACCAAAATGACACAATGGGGAAGTTTTGAAAACTAGAGATCCACATGCTAAAGAATAATACAGGACTCTTATGGTATTAATTGTGCAATAATCAACTCAAAAAGATTAAAAGATTCTACACAAAGCTTGCAACCATAAAGATCCTACAAAGACAACCTCAGGTATAGATATATTTAGGGCAACTTGGATGTACGCTCATGGTTTACAAAAAGTAACAAAAATACAAGGGAAAAAATCATGGACAATGGACTGCTTTGGTAGTGATTTTTTTTTTTCTTGATTAGTAACCAACAGCACAGCTAACCAAAAAATTATGCAAATGTGGGACCATGTGAATCTGAAGTTTGTGCCCAGCAAAGGAAAACAATGAACACAATGAAAAAGCATACTAAAAATTATTTTAAAATTTGGGCACACACGCACAGTGGATAAGGGGTTATTTTTGGAACGGCACAAGCCAGTAACACTATCAGCTGGCAAAAAAACTAAACAGAAAAATAACCAGACCAAAATTGGGGTCAATAACCTGAGTAGATATTTGTGCAAAGTCAGGAAACTGACCCAATGATTACAAAATCGTGGTTAATATTACTACTCATGAGAAAAACGTATATCAAAACCACACTCAGATCTTATCTCATTCCAACTAGAATGAACATTACAAAAATATTAAAATATTTAAAAAGACAACTTCTGGTATGAGTTTCCAGAAAAGGGAACTGTTTGTGGAAACATAAATTCGTATTAACACTATAAAAAAAAGCTGGGAATCCTGCAAAGAATAAAACACAAAAAGAAATACCATGCCATCTAGCAGTCCCACTACTGGGTATACATTCAACCTACCTGTTCTTCCACAGATATAGAGACCAAGAAACTCTCGTATACATTCAGGAATATTCCTTGGCCATCAAAATAATGAAACAGCATCATTTAGAGCAACCCAGACAAACCTGGAAAACATTATGTTAAATGTAATGAAGTAGGCCCAGAAAGACACACACTGCATACTACGCCTGTGAAATCTTAAGACATTTATTTTAAGTAGAAAGCAAAATATTGGTAACTAGAGTCTGAGAGATGGAGGGGGAATGGGGATTAGTTATGGAAACCAAGTTATCCTAACATAAAAGGACTAAATCTGAGTGTTCTCCTCCTCAGTCTGGTGACTGGAGTTAACAATACTATATTTTTCAGAAGAGCAACAAGGGAGAATTTTGAATGTTCTCTCCACACAAAAATGATACCTGTATGAGAGAATAGAGATCCTAAGTACCCTAATTTGATCATTAATCAATCTATATGCATGAAAATGTACCCCTAATTATGGACCTTTATGTTGTGAAAAAAAAGTTAACAGAAACAAATACATATTGCTAAAAATTACAGGGAACCACAAAAGCAATGAATGTCTAAAGGAATCCTGAGAAATACAAAGTGAGGACCCACCATCCTCAATACCAAATTACACTGCCAAGTGGGACTACACAAACCTGAAAAGTTTTTGCACAGCAAAGAAAACTACTCTCCAAATTCAAAAAAAAGAAATCCGATAGATTAGGCAAGACTTTCAGGCAATCATGTAATTCATGAGGAGTTGTCATCTAACCTGTACACGAAAAACCACTACAAAGTAGCAAAAGAATCCAATCTAGGACCTGAACAGACAATTCTGCAGACATAAAATCGAACAGATAAGAGATAAGGTCCTCAAAATGAACTATTCATTAGAAAACTATAATTCAAAACCACACGCAGATAATCTCACAGTTATTGAATATTCCTGGAAATTTTTTTAAAAATAGAGGAGCCAGGCACAGTGGCTCCCGCCTGTATTCCCAGCACTTTGGGAGGCCTAATTGGGTGGATTACCTGAGGTCAGGAGTTTGAAACCCGCCTTATCAATATGGTGAAACCCCATCTCTACTAAAAATACAAAAATTAGCCTGGTGTCGTCGTAGTGGGCGCCTGTAGTCCCAGCTACTCAGGAAGCTGAGACAGAAGAATTGCTTGAACCCAGAAGGTGGAGGTTGCAGTGAGCCGAGATTGTGCCACTGCACTCCAGCCTGGGCGACAGAGCGAGACTCAGTCTCCAAAAAAAAAAAAAGAAATGCGGGCGTGGTTTTAGAAAAAGGGGAATTCACACGCTGTGCGTGGAAATGAAAATTAGGATACCCCAGCTCAGAGGGACCCAGGCTCCGGGCTTCACTACGGGCTCAGGGCCTCCTGCTAGATGCTGGATGCGGGTCGGACACAGGCATAGCCTTCCCGGCAGGGTTGCAGACGCTGCCACCGCCAGTACCCCACAACCGCCCCCACACGGACGACTGGGGCCCAAATGCCCACAAAGAAGTCAGGGCTGCCAAATAGGGAGCGGCGGAGAAAGAGTAGGGAGGCGTGGAGGGTTCCCAGTGGGGTACAAGTCCCGGCCACTCACTGCAGAGACCTGCCTCCTCCTCCACCATCAATGGAAGCCACCATGGCTTCTCCGAAGAAGCTCGCCTTAACCGCGCCGGTCCTCCTGCTACCTCCTACCGGTCCGCAGCTCCTGCCGCTTCCGACCGCGCCGCGGCTCCTGCTGCCTGAGACGCGCGGCCGCTTCTGCTCGCTCCTGCCTGCTCCTCGCAAGAAGTGCAGTCCGGCTTCCGTAGGGCGCGCACGCTGGCCACGTCCCTCTCCTCAAGCTGAAGCACCACCCCCTCTTAAAGGGGCCGCGGCTCGGACTGGCAAGAACAGCTTCAGGTTGCCGCACAGGCTGAGCCTCTGTCCAGTCCCAGGGGTGAACTAAAGGCCCCCGGTTTCTCATCCTCCCTGGCTCTAGGGCCCGGAGGTGGCAGGAGTGGAGCCTTGTGACCCCAGCTCCGAGATCAGCTTCCTTTGCCTGGGGAGCGCCCGGGATCTGCCCCTGCTTCCTCTGGACCTCACGAAGGAAGCGGCCTGGCCGGAGCTCTGGGGTCCCTCAAGCTCGGCGCCTCAGGATCCACGGTGGGCTCCCTTGACCCTCTGCAGAGGGGACCCAGAGAACCACGGAAAGCTGCGGGCTGGAGACACAGTCTCGAGGGCAGCTGGGCGTTCTCGGCCTCAGCGTCTGCATCCGTCCTGTGGGAGCCCCGGGGCCTCACCACGGCTGCGTGGGTTACCGGCTCCCCAGGAGACAGGCAGGGGCCCTGGGGTCCAGCGCTGCCCCCACCTCAACTCCATCTTGGGTCAGCGCCCTCAAAGGGCCTTGTGGACTGGACCCAGGCCCACCCCTTTCTGGGGTAGGGGACCCGCATCAGTCTCTGTGACACCCACAGGAGGGGCAGTGCTGACCTCTCCTGGGGACCTAGGGGTGAGGTGGGGGATTTCCAGCCACCTCCTGTAGCTCGTTGAGCGCCCCACCCCAGAGGGCAAGCAAGAAAGAGCAAAGGAAGGAGAGCCCAAACATTTTCAATCTTTCATTTCCGTTTCTTTTTTTCTTTTTTTCCCGCTCCAAAATAAAAAATCGTGTGTAGCTTCGTCGCCTGGACATCATCCATTTCACAGGGCCATGGTGGGGATCCAGCCCGCTGATTGCCTCGAGGGGCCTGGGCACCCAGCGGTCCACATGCACTCAGGGCCTGCCCAGGTGAGGTCTGCGGCCGCCACAGAGCTGATGTCCTGTCTGGCCGGGGCACATGGGTCACTAGGGGTGCTGGCTGCGAGGCTCCAGAGAGGTAGAGTGGGAGGGTGCCTCAGGCCCTGACTCACAGCTGTTGATGTTATGCCTGGTGCCCTCCATCCACCACCTCATGCCAGTAGTCGAGAGCCCCAGCCGGGCAAGAAGTTCATCACTTCTTCCTTCATTCCTTGAAAAAATTCAAAATCACATCATAATCCCTGGAACAACCACTGAAAAACACGTCAGAAATAGAACAAAGAATTAAAATAGGATTGTAAATGCCACGTTGAAATAAGTTTATTTAAAAAATGATAGTCAATGGATAAACAGGCTCAGAAGACAGGAGAGACAGGGAAAACAAGTACGTTAGAAACAGAATTAGAAATTAACAACAGAAAGAAATTTTGGGCATCTGAAAACATGTGAAAATTTAACAACCCACCTCTAAATCGTTAGATATCACACACACACACACACACACCCCAATAAATTGGAAAATATTTCAAGCTCCACTCCAGTCTGGGTAACAGATTGAGATCCTGTTTCTAAGAAAACAAAACTGTAAAAGCTATAACATTAAATGCCAACTTTCCCCTGTCCCCAAACTCTCCACGGCACTCCTTTGCCCTTAGAGTCAAGCCTATGCTTCTCACTGTGGGCTCCAAGACCTAGGTGGCCTGACCAGTGCAGACTCTATCACCAAGTCCTCCTCTGCACACTCGCTCACCCTGTCCAGTCACACATTTTTCTTCTTCCAAATGCCAAACTCCTGATCACCTCTGGGCCTTGGCCTTTGCAGTTCCCTGTACCAGACCAGTCTTTCCCCAGACCTTCCCATTCCTGCCTCTTCCTGTCTTGACTGCCTCTTTCTGGTGCTTCAGGCCTCAGCTCAAATGCCACTTCCTCAGAGAGGACTTCCTTGAAATCCCTGCCTAACACAACCCTAGCATGGTCAATACTTTTCTCTTTTTGGACTTAGGTTTTGATATAAAGAAGTTTTATAAAAATGACTTGGCATCTACCATCTATTTAAAAGGTCTGACTTTGTTGAAATAATTTGGACTTTCCTGATCTTTGAGTTTTGATAAAACGACTGTAAAACCACCTGCCTTTGAAAATATTGAGATTAATTTATAATTTATGTTATTACAATTTTTTTTTTTTTTTTTTTTTTTTACAGTTAGAGTCTCATTCTGTCTCCCAGGCTGTAGCACAGTTGCCCATAGCTCTTTGCAGCCTCAAACTAACTTGCCTTTGTAATGGTAAGTCCTCAGTCACCTCTCTCATCTTCTGTGGGTGTTTGTTTACTTAAGCTTTCTAATTATTTGGAGTTCAGCTTAGCTCAGTGGTTAGCACAAGTTGATACATGCTCAAGTATGAGGGTTCAAAGAAAGAGGTAGGGAGGTACAACACTCTCAGCTTCAAATGCCCAGTCCCCTACTCATCTGCTCAGACCCCTATCCAGCCTCTGCATCTAACCCATCTACATGGTTCCCTCCTTTAGAAGTCCTTTTGGATTTCTCCTTTCCTTTCTTCTCTGCTCTATCCTCAGGTCAATAAATTCATCCATCTGCCTCTGTGCAGGGCAGATGCCACAGCTCTCTGCTTTCTGGCTGGGCAAGGCAAGAGGGTAGGTGCGTGTATAGAAGATGCCTCCCTAAACCTTGGCCTTTTGCCTCATGCCTGGCACATTCAGCTTTTGCTGACACCTCCCCAGAAATACCAACCTCATCAACATCTGCAGAATGGGCCTCCAGGGTCTGCCTGGAGATTGTGTGAGATTTTCACATGACTGCAAATACACATGAACACCTAGGGCTTCCACATCTGGATTCCTTGGCTGGCCCTTCACACTTGAGTCCAAGAGAGATGGTGAGTGGCTGGATTTGCAAGCCTGTGCATTTCTGGGTAGGTTGTCAGCTGGGGTACTCTGAGAAGAAGTTGTCAAGGGAAGCTAAAGGGGAGGGAGTCAGTCACGTCTCTCTTGACCTGTTGCACTCTCCAAATTTTACTGTCCACTCCTAGGCCTGATCTAGAGGGCTATCTAGTTCAGGGGAGACAAAGCTGGCTATATCTACTGCCAGCTCCATGGGGTCAGAACTAGAGGGGAAGGATGGGGACTGTTCCAGAGAAATGGCAGGGAGGGCTTCCTGGAGGAATGGGTGTTTTAGAGCTGAGTTTTTTTTTTCTCTGTAGCTCAGTCTGGAGTGTAGTGGCATAATCACAGCTCACTGCAGCTTTGGCCTCCCATGCTCAACTGATCCTCCTGCTTCAGCCTGGGACTACAGACACATGTAACCACACACAGCTAATGTTTGTAATTTTTTTGGTAGAGATTGGATTATACCATGTTTTTCAGGCTGGTCTCACACTCCTGGGTTCAAGTAATCCTCCTGTCTTGGCCTCTCAGAGTGCAGGCATGAACCACCTCATCTGATCTGAGCTCAGTTCTGAAGTGTGAATAGGACTTGGCTAGGTGAAGAAAGGGGTAAAAGGCCTTCTAGATGGAAATATTTATCAAATATAGAGAGAAGTAGGCAGGAGCTAGTTAGGGCAGGGTCTTTGAATATCAGGCTGGGTGCAGGAATTTTCTCACAAGGCCAGCGTGGAACCACGGAGAATGTGTGAGCAAGGGAGGCCATGATTAAAGCTTGATCTCTCAGGGGCAAGAGTGAGCAACAGTTTTGTTCTCAGGTGATGGGATCAGGAGAGTTCCAGCGTCATGGGGGTTCAGGAGAGTCAAACCCTGCACGACCTCATCTGTACCTGTCATCTCATGCCAGAATGAGTCAAGGACCCCCTGGTGTTCTGGAGGGTCAAATAAACCTTGGGACCCAGTGACTTACAGCATGAAGTACAGACCCGCAGCACAGAGGGTGTCTCACCCCAAGCTCTGCTCAGATGGGCACAGCTGTGACCTCATCTCCAGCCTCCTGCCATCTCCACTCTGGCCCTTATAGTCTCACTTTCCATGAAAGCCATGAGCCGCATGTTAAAATGATAAATCAGCCCCATCCTGAGATCAGGTCCTGGGACTGAGGAAGCAGCCACACCTGACTTTGGACACGCACTTGGGCAGTCGTGCGGCTCACCTTGTTTTGTTTTTCTTCTCAAGGATTGCAGTCCTGAGCTGCTGGTTGCCCAATATCTGAAAACCGTTGTTCCATATATTTTGTCTTGTTTTCCAGCTGCTCCTGGTGTGAGCGAAGTCCACCACTGCTCTGTCAAGGCCAGAAGCTCCAGCAGAGGCTAGGAAAGTTGCGACTTAGCAATGCAGTGTTTCCCAAAGTGTATTCCAGAGAACACTAGTTGCACAAGATGACAAAGTGGTTTATTTACAAGTAAACAGAAAAAATAAATGATCATTTTTAACACTTAAATTTGTTAAAACTTTGGTTTAAACAAGATTAAATAGGTCTGATCCCTGAAGAATGATTCAGGACTTCCAAGACACTAATGCCCCTGGTGAACCTCCATGAAGAGAATAAAAAGGGCGACACTCCTGAAATTTATTTTATCATAATGTTTTGTTTGTTTGTTTCACAAAACATCTTTAGAGAAAGAGTATGATGTGCTGCTTAAGAGCAAGCACTCTGGATGAAGACACATTTGGGCTGGGTGTGGTGGCACGTGCCTGTAGTCCCAGCTACTTGGGAGGCCAAGGTGTGAGGATTGCTTGAGCCCAGAAGCTGGTGGCTGCAGTGAGCTAGGATTGCGCCTGTGAAGGGCCACCACACTCCAGCCTGGGAAACATAGAGACCTGTCTCTAAGGAAAAATATAAACAGATCTGCTTGCATTTGAATCCCAGTTCTGCCACTTACTGGCTGTGTGTCCTTGCAAGGTTACTGGCCCTTTGTGAACCTCAGTTTTCCTGTATGCTAACTGAGGATAAAGGTATTGCTATCCAATAGAGGTATCATGATTATTGAGAGCATTCTATGAGATGATGCATGAAAAGCACCCAGTCCACTGTTGGCACGTGGTGAATACCCACAGCTAGTAGCTGTTGTGTTGGGATGATTATTACTAGAATTGTCTGTAAAATAGGAATGACTAATAACAATTCTCTGTCATTCCAGACAGTGGAAAGCAGAGTAGAGCAGGATCTGTCTTTAATCTCCTTTAGTTTGAGAATTTGGTCTGGGACTTGGAAGGTGGCACTGGAGAGAGGATTCTAGGGAGAAGCTGCACTCAGCACATAAAACACGTGTTTCCATCTCCAGATAGAGAATTTTCTCCAGCTCAAGGAACTCTTAGGAGCTCAGGAGAGGGGAGTGGGAGACAAAGGGTTTGTCTGTGCAGAGAGCTCAGCAGAGAGCTCTTTGGGGAAGGAGGATGTGGGAGAGGGCTCCGGGAAGGGCTGGTGCCCTTGGGGGATTAGAAAGTGGCACTAGGTAAGCTCCCAGTGGCTGAGGATGAGCAGATAGCACCACCTGGTCAGCATAATGTCGGGAGGACAGAGCCAAAGCCAGGCAGCTTCCTGGCTGAGTCTGAGGACAATGGATGATGCTCTGTGAATGCAGCTGGCAGTGTAGGACTACAGGTGACACTGCTGCTCTCGGCCCCATGTGCTCTGAACCTGGGAGCATGGCCTTTCTCTGATCACACAGCAAGAAAGAGGCAGCCTCAGGATTCATGTCAAGGTCCACCTGACCCTCAGACCTTGTTATCCCCTAGGCTCCTGTGTTTCCCCTGTTAAAAGAGTATTTGCATTGATGAAATAAACTGGCACTTACCTGGCAAACCATTTGGGTGGAATCCACTGGACCCCACCAGGATCAAGAGCTCAGGATGGATGGGGCTGGGAGATCTGGGGTTTTTCCAGACCATGCTTTGGAGTTAGTTGGGGCTGAATTCCAATAGCTTGTGAATTCCCAGCAAGCTCCTCACACCAGCCTGCTGCTGTTTGCCTGACATGACAAATTGATTTCTTTTAAAATAAGTACACTGTTTATTTATAATAGGTTTAGATTTACAGAAAAGTTGCAAACATAGTGCAATGTGAGTCCCCATAACCCCCAAACCCTGTTTCCTCTATTATCCTCTTACCCGAGTACGGTACATTTGTCACAAATAATGAACCAGTATGGATACCTTATTGTTAACTAAAGTCTACACTTGATTCAGATTTCCTTAGTTTTAGCCTAGTATCTCTTTTCTGTTCTAGGATCCCATGGAGGATAGGATAGCATATTTACATTGAGTCCTCTTGTCTTTTCTTGACTGTGTCAGTTTCTCAGACTTTTCTTATTTTATTGAACTTGACAGTTGTGAGGATTACTGGTCAGATATTTTGAAGAAATATTCCTCAACTGGGATTTTAAAGAATTAAGATATAATTCACACATGTAAAAGTTACCATGTTACAGTGTGCAATTAAGTGGTTTTTCTTTTTCTTTCCTTTCCATTCCCTCCCTCCTTTCCTCTTCCTCCCTTCACTCCTTTTCTCATTCCGTTTCCTTTCTTCCTCTCTTTTTCTTTCTCTTTCTTTCTTTCTTTCCCTTTCTTTCTTTCTTTCATTCTTTCTTTCTTTTCTTTCTTTCTTTCATCTTTCTTTCTTTCTTCTTTCCTCTTTCTCTCTTTCTCTCTTTCTTTCTTCACTTTGCCACCCAGGCTGGAGTGCAGTGCCACAATCGTGGCTCACTGCAACCTCCACCTCCCAGGTTCAAGCAGTTCTCTGCCTCAGCCTCCTGAGTAGCTGGGATTACAGATGCCTGCCACCATGCCCAGCTAATTTTTGTGGTTTTAGTAGAGACGGACTTTCACTATCTTAGCCAGGATGGTCTTGAACTCCCAACCTAGTGATCCACCTGCCTTGGCCTCCCAAAGTGCTGGGATTACAGGTGTGAGCCACTGTGCCTGGCCCATTTTATTTTTTTTGAGATGTGACCCAGGCTGGAGTGCGGTGGTGCAATCTTGGCTTCCTGCAACCTCTGCCTCCCAGGTTCAAGCAATTCTCCTGTCGCAGCCTCCCAAGTAGCTGGGATTACAGGCATGCACCCACCAGGTCCTGCTAATTTTTGTGTTTTTAGTAGAGACAGGGAATCAACATGTTGGCCAGGCCACTTTTGAACCCCTGACCTCAGGTGATTTACTTGCTTCGGCCTCCCGAAGTGCTGGGATTATAGGAGTGAGCCACCACACCTGGCCTATTCAGAGGTTTTTAGAATACTCACAAGATTGTGCAACTGTCACCACTATCTAATTCCCAGAACAGTTTTGTCACCCTGGAAAGAAATCCAGTACTCTTTAGTAGTCACTCCCTTTTCCCTTCCCTAGCACCCCTAGCTCCTGGCAACCATGAGTCTACTTTCCATTTCTGTGGATTTGCTTATTCTGGACATTCATATGAAAAGGATCATACAATACATGGCCTTTGTGACTGGCCTCTTTCACTTAATGTAATACTGAATAGATTGTTGATTGGAGCAGGGTCAAGGTCAAAGTGAATTAGGTTGGTGATTAGGGTCAGGTTGAGGTCAGACCAGGGTCAGGGTCCACAGAGAGGAAGAGCCAGGTGAGACCCCTGCAGGGGTCCTGCTGGACTGGGGCTAGCCTGTACCTCATACTCCTGCTTGAAGCCATAGTCTTTGGCTGTCTTCATCTGGTTGATGTACTGCATGTATCCCTACTTCATTCTTTTTTTTTTTTTTTTTTTTTTTTTTAATATTGCTAGGATTATACCTGTAATCCTAGCACTTTGGGAGGCTGAGGCAGGCAGATCACGAGGTCAACAGATGGAGACCATCCTGGCTAACATGGTGAAACCTCATCTCTACTAAAAATCCAAAAATTCACTAGATGTGGTGGCCCATGCCTGTGGTCCCAGCTACTGGGGAGGCTGAGGCAGGAGACTCACTTGAACCTGGGATGCAGAGGTTGCAGTGAGCCGAGATTCTGCTACTGCATTCTTGCAACAGAACCTGGCGACAGAGCGAGACTCTGTCTCAAAAAAAAAAAAAAAAAAAAAAAAAAAAAAAAAAAAAAAAAAAAAAAA